TTCTTAAAGATTTATTTTTTGGCATTTTTGCCTTTATTATGACAGGACAGATCAGAAGTGGGAGAGGGATAGGGGGTGGGATCGGGAAAGGTCCTTGAGTCGGGATTCGAACTCGGGACGCCCATAGTGCAACGCCGCTGTATGTCGGCGCGCTGCCCACAAGGCTATCGGCGACGATGGCCAAGATGTATTTTTTAACAGGAAAATGTCATGAAATGTCTTAAATTTTAATCATAACAGGAAAAACTTGTATGTCAATAACCAGATGTTTTTGTTCCGATACCTGCTATCTTCTGAAATTCATTTCTAATAAGCAAACTTGTCTTTCCCCTGCAGGTGCCCCATGTCTGAGTTTTGATGTGGTGCGTGATGGTGAAGGAGAAGGGCGGGAGCAGTTTCCTCTCTCTATGATTCTGTGTGCTGGTACACAGGCGGACACCGCCTTAAGCAACAGGTACACTGACACGAATGCTGTCAGAGCTTGCTACTTTTATTGTTCTGCAACAAACAGCTAATACTTTTATTATGTTTGGCTTTCAAAGATGATGACATTTTCAACTCTATCCAGGCTTATTGTCATGCGCATGCACAATCTTCATGAAACTGATAAAGATGAAAATAAAAGCAGTGATGAAGAAAGTGATGAAGATGAGGAGGACGAGGAGAAGAAACCACAGTTGGAGCTGGCCATGATGCCGCATTATGGTGGGATCAACAGAGTCCGAGTAAGTCTAGTTATTGTCACATTTACTCTTATTAATGTTTTTATAATTCTGGATAATTAACGTTTTACAGCTTTTTCCAGTCCAACCAGTTAAATTTTCTCACTCATCATCTAAAGTTATGATCTTTTTACTTTAATAGGTGACCCAGCGAGGTGAACAGACATTTGCTGCGCTCTGGTCAGAGAAAGGACAGGTGGAGATTTTTGACCTCCGACCTCAGTTTGAGGCGGTGCACAGTTCGGCAGCGATGTCGGCCTTCATCAAGCAGCAGAAGGAAGCCATGCCTCTTTTCAGTTTTTCTGGTCACATGTCAGAAGGATTTGCCATTGATTGGTCACCCAAGGTACCAGGTGTGTAATTTGGATTGTAATATTATATCCACCTTAGTTTTCAAAGCGAAAGTAAGCTATTTTCTGGGAATGTGTGAAAGTTCTTAATCATTTGCCGCAACAGTAGACAGTAAACAGTAGAACGATTTGCGTTACAAACAAATAAATAGGTTCATGATTATGACAAATTAAAATATGATAAATACCGGTGTGCAGTATCAAGCAACATGCAGACTGTTTTTGTACAGCTAAAATAACTAGAAGCGGATGACACAGGAAGCCTTGCACATTTAAGTTACAAATGACCACATCAATTCTTACATTTAATAAAAAAAAAAACAAAGTGGATGTAACGGAGAAAACAGGGTCTTACCTCCATACAAACAGATGTCTAGATTAATGGGACTACTGGCTAAGACTCAAGTCATTTCATGTTAACAGGACGCCTGGTAAGCGGCGACTGCAAGAAGAACATTCATGTCTGGGAGCCACAGGAGGGCGGGACTTGGAAGGTTGACCAACGGCCTTTCAGCTCACACAGCAAGTCTGTTGAGGACCTGCAGTGGTCACCTACTGAAGCCACAGTATGTCGGTCAAAAGAGAATGGTTATATTAGAATATTTTATAATAAAAGTGGATGTAATATTTAAATTAGTGCTTCTCTCTCACCTCCAGGTTTTTGCGTCCTGCTCAGTGGATCAGTCCATTCGCATTTGGGACATAAGGGCACCACCTAATTCCATGCTCTCTGCCAATGAGGCTCATTCTTCAGACATCAATGTTATCAGCTGGAACCGGACTGAACCTTTTATTTTGTCTGGAGGAGATGATGGCCTCCTGAAAGTCTGGGATTTAAGGCAGTTCCAGGTGAGCATGAGCAAGAGGAAACAAATATTCATGTTTAATTTTTCAGCTAAAGCATTACCAACTAAATCATTAAATGAAACAAGTCCGTCTGGAATCACATGAAGAGACAGAAGCATTTCATGCCTGTTTGTCAGGTATATTGTTCTAGGGTGTTTACAAAAACTTACATGCAAACTACTACTGTGAAATAAATAATTATTCATTTTAGAATGAATGAACACTGCCATTCAAAAATGTGGATTTTTTTTTTTTGAGTTTATTTAATCAATAATACAGTAAAACGTAATATTGTGAAATATTATAACAACTTTAAATAGCTGTTTTCTGTTTGAATGTATTTTAAAATGTAAATTTTCCTGTGATGGCAAAGCTGAATTTTCAGCAGCCATTACTCCAGTCTTCAGTGTCACATGATCTTTCAGAAATCATTCTGATAATGCTGGTTTGGTGCTTAAGAATTTTTTTTTCTTATTATCAATGTTGGAAACAGTTGTGCTGCTTACTATTTTTGTGTAAACTATATTTTTCTGTGATTATTTGAATAGAAAGTTAAAAAGACCAGCGTTTTTGAAATAGATCTTTTATAACATTCTAAATGTTTTTACTGTCCCTTTTTTGACGATAAATTTGATGTTGTGTTGCTGAATAAAAGTATAAATAAAAAAATCTGACCCAAACTTACTCCAAAGAGAAAGGAAAACTTGAAATCGCATCATATGACCCCTTTAATAAATGTGTTATTTTTTGTTTGTTTAAAGTGATCACATTCATGTTTCTTTTTTTCAGTCTGGACGTCCAGTGGCCAGTTTTAAGCAGCACAGTGCTCCTGTGACGTCAGTGGAGTGGAACCCTGTTGACTCCAGTGTGTTTGCCGCTTCTGGAGCTGATGATGTTGTCAGCCAATGGGATCTGTCAGTGGAGTCATGTGACATGGGAGAACAGGCAGGGGGCTTAAAACAGCTACCACCACAGCTACTGTTCCTTCACCAGGGCCAGAAAGAAGTGAAGGAGCTCCACTGGCACCCACAGATTCCTGGACTTCTCATTTCCACCGCGCTGTCGGGATTCAACATCTTCAGAACTATTTCTGTTTAACTGTGTGTGTGCGTGTGTCTGTGTGAGTGGGAAGAGAACGAGAGACTGGACAGTTTCAGGCAGAAAGAATGTGCATGTGTAGAATTTTAAATGTACATAGATGGATGAATGGAACATCTAGGTATGCATGACTCGTATGCATTTCTGTCATTTTTCCATCCCTTCTAGAACCAATATTTCAACTTCTTGAGGCAGAAATAATGTAATTGTATGATGAATTACTGATTTGTACTCGTTAAAATGTTCTAAATCATCCACAAGTCTGCTGGTTGTGTAGTAACATTATTTATAACACGAGCATATTTACCGAAGAGCCACTTTTCCTTGGGTATCCGTTCAGTAAAAAAAAAAAGATTAGGACTTTTCTCTTAATGGACATAACAGAGTATTTTTAGTCTTTCAGTTTCCAGTGGCCAGTTTTAAGCAGCACAGTGCTCCTGTGACGTCAGTGGAGTGGAACCCTGTTGACTCCAGTGTGTTTGCCGCCTCTGGAGCTGATGATGTTGTCAGCCAATGGGATCTATCAGTGGAGTCATGTGACATGGGAGAACAGGCAGAGGGCTTAAAACAGCTACCACCACAGCTACTGTTCCTTCACCAGGGCCAGAAAGATGTGAAGGAGCTCCACTGGCACCCACAGATTCCTGGAGTTCTCATTTCCACCGCGCTGTCGGGATTCAACATCTTCAGAACTATTTCTGTTTAACTGTGTGTGTGTGTGTGTGTGTGTGTCTGTCTGTGTGAGTGAGAAGAGAGACAGAGAGAGAGAGAGTGGACAGTTTCAGGCAGAAAGAATGTGCATGTGTATAATTTTAAATATACATAAGATGGATGAATGGAACATCTAGGTATGCTTGACTCATATGCATTTCTGTCATTTTTCTCCCCCTTCTGGAACCAATTTTTCAACTTCTTGAGGCAGAAATATTGGAATTGTGTGATGAATTACTAATTTGTACTCGTTAAAACTCCGTTCTGAATCATCCACAAGTCTGTTGTTTGTGTATTAACTTTATTTATTAGTTATAACACCAGCATATTTACCGAATATTTACTTTTCCTTGGGTATCCATTCAGTTAAAAAAGGCCTCTTTTCTCTTAACTTAATGGACAAAACAGAGAAAGATATTTTAGTCTTTCAGTCTAAAGCTGCTAAAGGCAGACTGTGGGTTTTAATTATTAAGGCAGACTGCTGGTTTTATGGTTCTAACCATAGTAGCCTTCACACATATTCCAATAAAAGGAAAAATGTTTTATTCCTTATTTCTTCATGAAAAATAATTGCCAACTCAACAATTCCTTCTACATTTTGCCTTTTTTCAGTTAACAACTTTAAAGTGTACTAAAGGAAATTTGCGAATCCTAGATAATATGTAAAAAATAGATAAAATCAGGTTATATTCAAAAAAGTTTTGAGTTTTTATACTCCCAAGGAGTGCTCTGAATTTTCTTTCAAGACTGAGATGAGTTCAGTGACCCTTGCTGGAAAGAGGAAATGGTTTTAATATGGAAGGATGCCCTCCAGCCTAAGTATGAAGAAAGGACATGTTTACATTCTTGGCCAATTTTTTTTAGACATTTTTGTAAATACTTAACTCCACTTCCAGCAATTGTTACCTTTTAAACTTTCATCTTTAGCCGGTTCTGTAAGACGAATAACTCTGGACTTGTGGTCATGTATGTGGCATTCGTAGATAGTCAACAGCATATACAGCAATTCCATAATGTATAACATTTAGAATTATTTTGAGGTCTTGAACTAAACTATCCTATTTTTATTTATTTATCATTCCATCCATAAATCTATCAATCCAGCCAACCTTCCTGAAGCTATCTTAAGGCTAGATGATCCCACACTGATGCAATTAAAAGTTAGAGTTAAAGATAGTATTCATTTATTTACGTGACTTTAAAATAAAAAAAATATATCAATAGAAATAGCATGCTTACAGAAATGCATTTGCCTCCCTTCAGCACATTCAAAGAATGCAAAATGCCACAAAAAGTTGAGTGGTTTTGAGTGTAAAATAAGCACTGATTGTCTGTTATATATTCTTTAGCATTAAAATCAAACAACTGTGAAAGCAAGACAAAAGCAACTGCTTTTAAAAATAAACTTAACCTATTAAAGCTTTTCATGCTTTATGAATCTAGTCGAGCGCTACAGTCAAATAACCAACCAGAATGTTTTCATTCACAGTTTGCAGCTGTTTAGCTTTAAGACTATTTTGTAGTGTGTAACTATTACGTGCGTTTCATTTGTACACTTCTTAAATGAGTACATCTCCAAAAACAGTACACAATGTGATTGCTTATTGCATTTTAAGATATGTATGCATATGTAATAATGAACACTCCCAGGAGAAAATTCCAGCATTTGTGAATGCATTCAGCAACCTTGCATCTTTCCACAAAAAGAAAAGCTTCATCACTGGCTTTTCAGTGAAACTAAGCAAGACAAAGATGGAAAACATTGTCATGTAAGGCATTATAGATAACCATAATATAAACAATAATTTATAACTTTGTATGTTGTATTTGGCTTTAAAAGGTCAGCTGTCAGTCTAAACATCACCTTTTTGTTCCATTCTGTTTGAACTGCAGGTATTCACTCCATTGAGATTAAAGCTGTTTCCAGTTAACTGAAGAAGGTAAAGTGCCCTATAACGGAGTTATGAACTGGAAAAACTGAACATTTACTGCTCAATATTATATAGCTGAGACCATGGCAAATGTATGAATAGGTTTGTTCATAAGCTATTCTTTGTAAGACATCACACTGTCCATGGGAGACTTTCAAAATGTGTAGTTATAAAATCCAATAAAAAACAAAACCGCAACATTGTCTTACTTTCATAAAATAGTTCCAAAATGAGCAAACACCACTGTAAACCTGGAAAGGAAAGTTCCAAATTGTCCAGTTATTACCTCAAGAAGATATTTTCATTAACTCCTTGTATGGATGTTTTTTTTTTAAAGAACAATTCTGTTCATATGACATGATCCATATGCCAATGACTTATTTTTGGTCCTCAAATCGCTCACTATGTCCTTTTATAGGCCAATCTCATCATCGAATTCATCCTCAAAAGTGTATCCTTGTTGTCCGTTGGCACCTTCCTCCTCTGAATCTGTTTCTGAAAGATGCTGGTCTTCTCTCCTCCGGTCCAGCGGTGAGACTCCCTCATATTCTGAGCTCACTGAGGAAGAGAGGCTTGGAGAGTTGTCCTCCCTCCGATTAACCACCTCTGCTTGTCTTGGGTCTTTGTCGTAAGCCGTTCTCCCACTAATCTCTTGCATCTCCTTATTTGGTCTCAAGCCCATTTCTTCTTCAACTTCCACATCTAGCCCTTCGATTACTTCCTGTCGACCGATGATCTCATCGCGTTTGTCGCTGAATCGCACTTTGGGCCTGAGCCCTTTTGATTTCACGCCATTCACCTCATTCAGCTGCTCATCTCGATGGCTCACCTCTTTGGTCATACTTTCCATCCTCATCCTCTCGTTCAACTCATTGGCAGCATTCCTTGGTGACATAATCACATCTCTCGTGCTCCTGCTGGGACTAAACACGTCTTCGTTGTCTTTGTGAGAACCCATCGTCAGTCCGTCCATCACTCCCAGGACATCTCCTAAAATCGAAGGCCCTAAATCCAAGTCGAGGTCAAAGGAAGAAACTGAATCGGAGTGCCGGAGCTCATTTGGACCGGTATCTTCTGCGTATTCAATTTCATTGTTGTGGTTCATCTGATTGTCTGTGGTCTCTACAGTGGCTGCCATGACTGGTTGTTGCACAGACGTGGGATTAGGACTAGAGGGGCCATGGCTGGACAGGAAGGAGGTGTCACCAAAAGCGTCTCCACCTCGACCAATGTGCATGGTGTGACGGAAATCACCCAGTGGAGCGGAGATCATGGTGGGGTCCAGACGTGGGGTTCGAGAAGATGATTTGTGGAGAGGCATGGTAGCAACTGAGGAATGAAACTGCAAAGTCAGATGAAGGAAAAGGTGGAATAAACATTTAAAGTGCAATAAAATGGTTTATAATTAACCATTATATTATATTATAATTTGTTAATTATTGTTTAATATTGCTTGTTTTTTGTTTGGTCCTTGTATGTAAACATTTGCTTTTAAATGTATTATACAAATAAAATGTGATTGATTGTTAGTTGCATTCCTAAATCTCCTATATTCTAAATTAATAATATAATATAATATAATATAAATCTTCACATTTTATTATATTTAATGTTTATTTTATGTTACTCAAATTTTAAAATATCTTTCCTTATACAAGTTTTTATTCAGTGGGACTCTGAATTTGAAGGGAGACATGAGATAAGACACGTGATTATAATACCCGCTAAATTTCCATATTTTATTCACAGTCAGGTATGAAATCATTACGTCGCAAAAAAAGAGGTATGATTGCGTAAAGGCTGTGAAAAAGAGGAGCTGACAGACGCCACAGCCAAGCTCGGACTTGTATGTGAAGCGCGTGCTTAAATGCATTCTCCCCTCGAGCTTTCTCGCGAGGCGAGGTCAAGACACAAAGTCTCAGAGAAACATTATGAACGTGCCCACGGTTACATCTTTTTAACACTTTTTAATTTTATTAAATAATTACTATTTAGATTTATGAAGAGACAGAAATGTGACTGTTTTCTGAAGCCCAGGGAACTCTTTTCTATTCTCAGGGATAGTTTCTTATATTTTAATATATTTAATTGCTTGGACAAAACATTTTATAATTAGCGCGTTTCGTTGTTTATTGTTGTTAAAAATCCATTTTAGGACCATTTGAGAATCGTATTTATACGAAGAAATTCGTATTATCGCCATTTATGTGACCTGAACTATTCATAAACAACTGCAACAGCTGGAAAGGGAATCGGTTCTAGACGCCTTTAACAGGTCTATTGACTACGTGCATAAAATCTAATATTCTGAGAGTAGTTCAGCTGATGAATACTATAAAACAACTTTTATGCACATTTAATAGGCTACACATTACATGATAACGAAATAGTTTAATTGCAGCCAAGTAACTCTAACCAGTGGTCTGATAATTTTAAGCAGAAGACCTGCCTTTTGTCCAGGAATGCGTCCTCCTGTCCAATGAAGCTGTAATAAAGCAAAAATCTATTTGTTATTAAATAGTCCAGCTTAATGCAATGAAGGTCTCCTAAAGTGGGAGTAACAGCAAAAGTTACGCGCCCAACTGAGTTATCGAATCGGTTTCCTTCAAAACGACGGAATTAAACTTACTTTGATCACCGTGTGCTTATCAGTGAGGTTGTGCCAATTTGTTCTTCTTATAACCAAATGTTTGTTTAAATAGCTTTCGCTTTCCCTCTTTTACTGACTTTTCTGGCGTCGCTCTTCTCTCCGAAATGTCTTTTTTCCTTTAGGGATGGGCAAGGAAGTGACGTGAGTTTTGTAAGGGAGCGTTCTGGCTACAGCTGTGATAGTGAATGAAAGTACTCACTGACGCAGCCTATGTATTTTTTCCTGTCAGAACAAAATTATTTCACACGGATTTTCGTCTTATTAATGTGTGGATATGGTCCAACCTCACTCAAGTGTAGAATCAGGAGTAATTCAGGAGTAATCGGGGTTGAAGATGAACAAAGCATATAGGGCTTTATATAGGACTATTTGTACATTGTGTTTAGTTTATTGCCATGGATGAAACACAATGAAACACGTTTTGGAATCCCGTCTGTCAACATTTCAAGCAGAGCTTGTCGAAGCAGAACCTGTTCTAAAGCTCTGTTTGTACTTTGTTTTTGTATCTCCATGTATATCACTCTCACTATCAACATTATAATAGAAGTGCAAATGCCAAGATGTAAAAGCTAAAGACTTTTTTAAGTTCAAAGTTGACCCTGTAAAGCACAACATGTGAAATAATAGTAAGGGAAAAAAATCTAGTTTAGACTATTTAAATGAAACAGTTTATAGAACCTTTAGATGAAATAGAAAAGAAAACATAGGCCTATATTAAAATCTTATAAATATCAGTTGTCACTCTTTATCTTTGTATCACTGCTTAATCTTATTGTCTTATGATCAAAGCTCTATATTTTTTATTGTATATTTAAATATAATACATTTAACATGATTTGTCTAATTACACACACACACACTGCTATACTAAAATATAAACTATCAGTCAGAGAAAGCATGTAGAAGATTGTGTAGTGTATAACAGATTTAATATATATATAAAAATAAATGTGTATATATATATATATATATATATATATACACACACATTTATTTATAGACCTTAAAAATTCATGTATCAAATATGATGCAGTCTTCATAGAGTTAATTATATACTAAAGGCTACAATTGACAGTCTTTCTCCTTTGGTGGCCAAGATTTCCTGCCTGGGAAGAGAATTCAAGGATGCTGCAGCTGAGCCATGAATAACATCACATCACTTCCTCTTTCTTAGCACAGCTTATGTCACACTAAAATACACTATCACTAGGGTTACTAATACAATGATGAATGCCTGGAAGTATTGCCAGTGTGCGAGATCCCACATAATACCCAGAATTACTGAAGGAGTGGTTTGCTGGATTAGGGAATCCATTTACACGAATGAACACAAAATCAATCTATTTTTACCTTTACAATGCCAAAATAATACAATTAACATGGATTCGTATTTGCTCTCCTGTAAATTCCCTAGATTTAAAAAGGAATACTAAAGGGGTGTTCGAATGTTTAGGGATAAAACACTGTGGAGCCAAGAAGTGTATCAAAGTAGTAAACAGTGTACTTACATTTGAAGTGCAATAAAAGCAACACAGTAAATATCTTTAATACCAGAACACATAAATATCTATTTAACACATGTCAGACCAACACATAACAAGCTTTCCAGAACAAGTTTTTATCTTATGTAACCATTCTGATGAAAATGTTGCCACCCAGTGGTGTATCGTTAAAATCTTTAGGTCCTAAATTAAAACGAATTTAATTCACTAAATTGAGTTAAAACTATACAAACTTAATAAATTATATATATAAATTTTTTTTTTCTTAATTTTTTTCTCTCTCTTTTTTCGTGGTGTGTTAGCAAAATAGAATTGAAATGAGATACTTTTCATTTGAAAAATCAATCTAATTGAATTTTTACTAAATTGAGTTAAAACTAATATAGGCTATATATAAAAATAAACAAAACAATAAATAAATATATATATAATAAATCTCTCTCTCTTTTCTTTTTATGGTAACCAGTTAAAAATAGAACGCAAACAGCGACTTTTCATTTGAAAAGTCAGCTCAGCGGCAGTACGTCTCTTCTGTCTAGTGTTGCGGCCTGTTGTGTGTCGGAGGAGGATGTCTGACAACGCAGAATCTCCTACAGAAACTCAAAAAGATGATCCGTCGATACAACACGCTGCCATTGAACACACTGGAGCGTCGGATGAGAAGAAAAAGAGTATGTTTTGGAGTTATATACACGACCAGAGAAACAGTTATACATTCATTTTTAAACGCTGCTGCTGTGTTTATTTGGCGTAGTTTATTAGCGAGCTACTTCCGCGATTTAGCGAAGATTGACTGCTCTGCCAGCCAATGAAGTTGCCGTTTGTTTATAGGCAGCCAATGGCTGGCCAAGCAGGCACGTGCTTTTTAAATTTTTTTTTTACTTTTGACAGGGATGGCAAGAGTTGTTGTTTTTTATGGTTTTTAACTTTACGGCCTAAACCAATCTTATAGTGGGACTATTATTTTAAGTGATATCTTGTCACCTATTCAACAACAGGTAATAAGACATTACCAAGTAATATTTCACATTTAATTGCGTTGATATTAACCCCTTTGTGGAACTCAGGGCGATATTGTACCATATTAATTTATGTAGTGCTTTTATTGCAAAACCTTTATCATTTCGATTGATGTACAGTCATATACCTGTACATTTTTAGCAGACCCTTGTGAAAAGTGTCCTTAATTGTTCTGAATGTACACTTGTAGTGTACTTTTAAACTTACAGATAATATAATATTAATTAAATAAACGTTTCAAACCTTTGTGAGTTTCTTTCTTCTGCTGAACACAGAAGAAGATATTTTAAAGAATGTTGGTATCCAAACAGTTGACGGTATCCAGTGACTTGTTTAGTATAGAAGAAAGACACTCATACAGGTTTGGAACGAGGGTGAGTAAATGATGACATAATTTTTTATATTTGGATGAACTATCCCTTTAATAAATATGTTCCACACATTGTCTAATTATGTTGTGCATGATTTTATTCTCATTTTATATTTCAGTTGATGTGCTGTTGAAAGCAGTAGGTGATGCGCCTATCATGAAGACCAAAAAATGGTCCGTGGAAAGAGGGAGGACAGTACAGTCACTCGCTCAGTTTATCTCACGCTTTCTCAAACTGGAGCCTAGTGAACAACTGGTATGTGATTCACCCCCACCATGAACACCTGCAAAAATGTCAACAATTCTGTGTTTTTCTGTCAATATGGGGTGCTGTGTGTACATTAATGAGGAAAAAAAATTAACTTAAATGATTTTAGCAAATGGCTGCAATATAACAAAGAGTGAAAAATTTAAGGGGGTCTGAATACTTTCCGTACCCACTGTATATATATACAGTATATATACTGTATATGGTTAAAAGATGTGACATCCGTTTTGGTGTGTGCATCAAATTAAATTCACAAAAGTGATTTTATATACATAGAAAACATATTAAATGCAAGTAAAGTTTATATTTGTGTCAAATAACTTTTGCCATTCAGCGCAACACATATATTGATTTAAAAATGAAACGACATACTTATTCTGACCTGTACTTATTAAAATATATAAAAGAAAAGGTGATCATTCTGTATTTCATTATATAATTTTAATTTATTAAAAACTTCTTGCTGATAAACGGGTGGTAAAATGTAGTGGTTTGAAGGATGGTGGCAAAGATAGCTAAAGATTTAAAACTACAATTAGATTTTGAGAGTCTTTTAATGTCATCTAATGAATCTTGATCTAAATATGCCTGACAAGATTTTTTTGGTATATAAAGTATTGTTACAATGAATGATATTTTAGTGGGTGTCTTCTATAAATCATGGTAAAAATAGTATGTATGTATGTAATAGTAATGTATGATTACATTTAACAGGACACATTCTAATAATGTATGGAAAAATTTCACCTTTTTGACTTTGACCCATATATTTTAAATAATTGTTACATAAAATATTTTCATTTTTCAATAATTATAACATAAATATAATATATTTATAAATATATAATGTATGTCATGTTTTCATAAATATGTGTATGATGAACCCAATCAAGGTAAAATTACTCATGAAATCAAACAGAAAAAAGTTATGAGAGATTTTTTTCTTCTTATTGCCCTTCTTTACTGAATGCTTTATCTTTCTGCTCTTCCACCAGTTCATTTATGTCAATCAGTCATTTGCTCCATCACCCGACCAAGAAGTGGGTGTGCTTTTCGAGGTATGATTTATTTTTTTGCCAAATGCTACTCTGCCCCATCTGGCTTAGTAAGAAAATTTTATGTAGACTGAAATTATTTCAGATTGCCATTTTTACAGTAGTGCAGCCACTGCTGACAAATGCTGATTAGCAAGTTTTCATCTTAAAATGTTTAAAGATCTGCTTATTTTCTGACTATTTAGGTCAATTCGAAGCTCCAAAAAAAAAAAAAAAATCCTCTGCACAAGTTTCTGTTCTAACTTTACCAGTCTAATTTATAATGGGTATAATAGGTTATGCCATAAAAATGCCATTTTAGTTTCCTTAATTTCTATGAAGAAACGGTGTGTTTTGCTGATTGACTTGGTAAACCTTGTTGTTCTGCTCTGTTTTGCAGTGTTTTGGAAGTGATGGTAAACTAGTTCTCCATTACTGCAAGTCACAGGCCTGGGGATGATTGTGCAACTTTTTTTCTCCCCCTTTCTCCCTTTCATTTATACACCTGTACACATACAGTATCAAAACATCACTCACACATCATGACACATCATGTTTTTATAACTTATTGATTTTTCATGTGTTATTTTTTTTTGTAAATAATAAAATGTAAATAATATTGTAAAACAATGCAATATCTCATGGGAAATCATAAGACCACCAAATACTTTTAGCAACAAATTTTGATGCATGTTTTTCATATTTAAGCTCATGTTGAAGTGATTTAAAAGGACAAGGAGAATATGTGATTCTCAGTAGTACAGAGTGACTACTTTTCACAGGAGGGGTGAGTAATGTCCCAGGACAGAACAGGTCACATGTAAGGGGGGGTGGAGACGTACAGGGGTGTGAAGAATAGGTGGGACAGAGGGATGTTTAAAAAGGCACGGTGGAGCAATGTATAAGAAGACAGGATAGAAAGATGGAGACGGTGCTAACAGATGGACTGAAGAGGGATTATGGATGCTCTTGGTAGAGTGTGACACCAATTTCCAAGGAAAGGCAGGAAAAGGAGGAGATTTGGGCAGGATTGTACCAAAAAAGGGGAAAAGCAGAAATAATCGCAAAAGGATAAGGAAGGAAACTGCATGCTGAACCAAAGAGACGAGGACCTTCTGTGTTTAACAGCTGCACAGAAGGTGGAAAAAGATACATATTAATGGATCGAAATAGGGAGTTATTATTACGATGGACATGATGTAAGAAGATTAATGTGCACAGGTAAAAATCAGCTTTTTTAATGCAGAATAATTATTGATTTTCTTGTAAAACCACTAAATTTCATTCTCAATTCTGCATATATAACAAAGTAATGCATAAAAGGTATGGCTTTCAGATCATGAAGCAATTTAAAGGAAAACCATTTGGTTGTACTCTCAAATATTTGATTCAAGCATTTGTTCTGATTAGCAGACATTTTGTCTTTCACATCACTAACAAACAATAAACTGTAAAAAGTGGGAATGTGCGGTTGTTGCCTTAAAAAGCTATTTCCAGTTGATCTAACCCTTGAAAATGAATTTTGTTGATGTAACCTACACTAATGTATTCAGGTTTATTCAGATATTAAACTATATTTTTTTGACAGTTCTTTTAAAATCAAATGTTTATAAAACTCCATATTTGATGTAAAAAATAAATATATAGGTATCCTTAAAAGAGTAAAAAAAAGAAACATGCACACCTACAAAGCCCAAACAGATTAAAACAGATTATTAGAGGATTACAAGTAAAGTTAGACTTAATGCAAGAGCTTAACTAATAATTTCATCACGTAACTTCAGACGTAATCCTTCGAATTCCCTCTTTTTCGTTTTCGCATTTTAAATCCCATTCAGGGCTGCACTGAAAATAAATAATAGTTTCACATCATTTATTCAGCATTACATAAACATGTTTTTATCTTTGGATTATACAGTTTTGCTCATAAGTTTACATACCCCTTGCAGAATATGCAAGATATGAATCATTTTAACAAAATAAGGGATCATAAAAATTGCATGTGTATATATATATATATATTTTTTTAGTACTGTCCTGAATAAGCAATTTAACATAACAAATGTTTGTCCTGAGCAGTTCAGAAAAAATTCTCCAGGTCCTGCACATTCTTTGGTTTTTCTGCATATCTGAACTCATTCCAACAGCGACTGTGCGATTTTTAGATGGAAAACTTTTTGGATATATAAATGTGGTTGTAACCTTTTTGAATTGGATGATTGGGGCTGAACTTATTTTGGATTCTGGGAAACATAAAAATCTTAAGTAGCTTTTAAAGGGCAGTACCAAATATGCACTGAATACTACATGTAGTGCAAAAAATAAGATCTTTAAACAAAACAAGAAAAAATTGCACATCCCCTTAATGCATTGTATTTCCTTCTAGAGCATCTGTGATTGTTTTCACCTTTTGTAGTAGTTGTAATGACTGATTTTGAGATCCATCTTTTTACAATGAGGACAGTAAAAAATATATACACTATTTTTAACTGTCCTCGTAAAAAGATGGATCTCAAAATCATACAGTCATTGTTGGAAATTCGTTATAATATGCAGAAGATGCTAGAATAATATGCAAAGAATGTGCAGGCCCTGAAGGATTTTTCTGAAGAACTGCAGGCAGTTGAACAGCTCCAGACAAACTAGGGACTCATTAACAACTTTCTCATAACATACAAACAGTCATTGATAATCCACGTAACAGCACACATTATTAAGATATATAAAAAATAATGATCTCTCTTGTTTTGTTAAAATTCTTAAAATCTTGAATATTCAGCAAGGGCATGTATACATGTGAGCGGAACTGAATAGGATTGATATTAGAAGAAGCAATGGTAATAATCATAAGGCTCCTTAGCTTAATCAGATTTAAATTAAAGGAAGTTTGGGCACTTTATTAACCTCTGATTTGCCTATAGTTTTCAAAGCTACATAACAAATCACAAATAGGGCCTATAAAGTAGGCTACTCAGATAATATCTAATAAAGCAATTTAATGGGATTAATTAAGTGATGATTTCTGTTACAGCATAAGTGACATCAAATAAAAATATATTTAAAAAATAATCCATATAATGATATACTAGTGCCAGGAAGCATTAACACAAAAAGTCCAGTGCTAGGATGTACCTGTGTGGTTAATGTAATATGTCTTTTTAGAACTCTTCAAGGACATTTTGATTTTCTTTAAAGTTTCTTTGGATAATAGACATCTGTCCAGAACAAAGTGTAATGCATAAGCCTGTGACATATGTTGTTCTTTCCTCTCTTACTAAGGTTCTTCCCTGATCTGACCCTCTCCTTTAATAAATCCACATCTTCATTTATCCTACCATCTGTCACAGGGATCTCTTACTCATTTCTGCTTTATGTAATTTTCTCAATTTCATTCTCATCCCAAAAGATTTCTTGTTCTTGGTTACTGATCCCTGTTTGCCCTTTATAAACCACCTCTGCCTTCACTTTGGGTAGCATGTTGGACCACATGTCCAGGCGTTCTCGCTCCCTGCTCTCTCTTTTCCTGACCTCCATCTGTGCTGGCTTTCTGTACATCTTACTGGTGTGAAGGAACGCACAAGGTGGTCAAACCTCTCTGCTTGTCACCTGTCAAGATGAAGAACTGCGGCCAGAACAACAGTGAACCTTACATGTAGTATGTATGGTATGATGTAGTCTTCTGGTTTGATATTACCTGTGTGATAAATCACATTCATGCTGATATTCAGACCAACATCCCAATTTAAGTATGGCGTTAAAGGGATAGTTCACACAATAATTAAAATTAGCTGAAAATGTACTCACCTTTGTAGCCATCCAAGATGTAGATGAGTTTGGTTCTTCATTAGAACAGATTTGGAGAAATTAAGCATTGCATTACTTGCTCATCAATGGATCCTCTGAAGTGAATGGGTGCCGTCAGAATGAGAGTCCAAACAGCTGATAAAAACATCACAATTATCCACACAACTCCAGTGAAGCAAAAAGCTATATGTTTGTAATAAACAAATGTATCTTTATGCTGCTTTTAACGTAAAACCATAATATTTCTCCAGTGGAAAAGCATCATGAGAGAAAATGTACACAAGATCAAGCACTGTTTACAAGTAAAAACAGTCCTAAAGAAATACTGCATGTTGGAGGAAATATTATTATAGATTATAGACTTGTGTTTTTTGCTAGAAACAACAGTTTAAAGTTAAAACATCTTAATAATGTCTTTGCTTCTTACATGCATATTTTTTACTTCATATTACATTAATTGATGGACTGGGGTTGTGTGGATTACTTGTGGATTATTGTGATGTTTTTATCAGCTGTTTGGACTCTCATTCCGACGGCACCCATTCACTGCAGAGGAGCCATTGGTGAGCAAGTGATGTAAGGCTAGATTTATCCAAATCTGTTCTAATGAAGAAACAAACTCATCTACATCTTGGATGGCCTGCAGGGTGAGTACGTTTTTAGCAAATTTTAATTTTTGGGTGAGTATCTTATATTTAATGACGTTTTCTAAAGGAAAGCACAGTTAACCTTTGCACATCTCTAAACAGCAATGGTGTTGTTTCTTTTTAAAAAAAATAATTAATCCATATTTTGACCATATTGGTTGAATGAATGGCTCAATCATAAAGATGGTTGCCACCTACTGGCGTAATAATGGAGCCTGCGAAAAGATTCAAAGAAAAATCCCCACTACTAATGCTACTAATGCTACAAACACTGACTGTACCATCCAGTCATTCAGGTTACTGTCAGGCTAATTGGTTGTCCTCTTTTCTCTTCAGAAAGCCCCACCCCAGATCCACAGAACCCGCTACCAACATTATCACCAAAGCGAAGGGAGGAACTAGCCAAGATTCGACAAAGACAATTGGCCAATGCAGTGCACTACATTTGGGAGACGGGAGAAGACAAGTATACCTTCAGATATTTCCACACAGGGTTTTGGGAGTCCTGTGAAAAACATGCGGATGGTAAGAAATCCTCTCATCAAAAGACATCAAAGTGATAGTTCACCCAAAAATGAAAAGTCTGTCACCCTGAGGTATCTACTCACCTCATTTTGCTTCCAACCTATCATGTTCTTTTTATCCATGGACCACAAAAGGAGATGTTAGGCTGGATTTTCATGCTGTTCTTTGCCATATAATGAAACTGAAAGTTGTCCATTTTCATTCCACCATATTCATTGTCAAATTTGGTGAATTGGTCACACTAAACCAAGGGTTCTTGAAGTCCACTTTCCTGCAGAGTTTAGCACTAACCTTGATCTAACTCACCTGCCTGTATCTTTCTAGTAACCCTGAAGACTTTGATTAGTCTTTTCCCTTCACAAATTTATCAAATGTATAGTCTTCAGAGGACTTGGTATATAGTGCACAAATTGTATGTATCACATTTATGGTGCTTTTGTCATTTTAATTGACAGTCCTTACTCACCGGTCACTGTTATTTCATGGAAACGAGCTGCATGAACATTCTGACAAATTTCTCCTTTTGTATTTCATGGAAGAAAGAAAGTCTTAAGAGTTTGAACCATGATGGTAAATGACACAAATTTCATATCTGAGAAAATTGTTCCTGTCATTATCATTAAATTACAGTTTTTACAATCATTTCGGCTCTAATTTTAGAAACTTTGTCATTTTTCAAAAAACAACATTACTTGTAATACAGACTGTCCAGTGTTCAAAACAAAGCATTGTACAGTAAATTCATATCTTTAAAGAAACCTTGCACTTGCAGAATGATTGGCTCAAATAACTTATAATGAAATACCATAGGAACATTAATTTAGATCACTGTCTATGGGGACCATAGAAACAGAGTCTAAAACAGAATGCTGATGAAGTATTACATCTATAGACAATGTACAGTAGTCCAATTGGTGACAATGACAGTGATTGGTGCCACTAGATCTGAAATGCTCCTGATCATCACATGGAATATTGTTCGCCAGTTTCCATGAAGCTATGCATTAAAGAGATTTTTCACACAAAAATGAAAATTCTGTCATCATTTATTCACCCTCCTCTTGTTCCAAACCTGTATGATTTTCTTTCTTCTGTTGAACACAAAAGAAAATATCTTGAAGAATATTGGTAACCAAACTGTTAATGCTAGTCATTGATATTCCTTTATTTTTTCCATACTATGGAAGTCAATGGCTACTGTCAGCCATCAAAATATCTTCTTTTGTGCTGAAGAACAGAAGAAAGAAACTCATACAGGTTAAGATCAAGTGGAGGATGAGTTAATAATGTCAGAATTTTACTTTTTGAGTAAACTATCCCTTTAAGAGTAATGCAAATTTTTGTGCAGTTTTTTAAATCGACATTTAGATCATTGTAATCAAATGAATAGACAGATGCTGTGTGTGAATTGCTTATTGAAATACTTTACTTATTGAAATAATACTTTGATGTTATTTTGTGTCATTTTGAATAGGTGAATTTAATGAAATTAACAAATGAATTTAGGCTTATGTGTATTGTGTTTACTCAATTGTAGAAGGTATTAAGAGTTTTGAAAATATACATTTTGATTACTGTCTGTGAGTTTTGTGTCTAGAATTTTTAAAAATGACATCCAAGTTCTGATATTAGTGCTAAAGTAATTGTAAAAATAAAGAGGCAATTAAAAAAAATAATCAAAATTGCACATCTATTTAAAATGCATTATATATCATTGATTAATCAAATAATCATATTGTTGAGTGTGTCAGACATTGGATTTCATTGGTATTCTTGTTCATTCTGCTACATTAAAGGAGAACGATGTCGCCGGTTCTTGTATCTTACTCCTGGAGAGACTCATGGTAAGATTGCAGTGTGTGTGTGTGTGTGTGTATGAAATTATCTCTGCAGAATGAATGATATAACCAATGATGTGTGTAGGTGTAACTGTGCCTGCAAGGCTTTTTGTATTTGTACAGTATGTGCTCATATAAGTTCATGTGCTTCTCTCTGCCTGCTGCAGGTGTTCTGTGGTTGTCAATGATTGCGGAGTTAATGTACATCAGTTTGTTGGGCATGGGCTTTCTACTAATGTGGGTGGAAGTGCTGTGTGCTCATAAAGAAATGCATGCACTCAAAATCAACGCTTTCGCATTCATGTGTACAGTGCTCTCAGGTAAGATAGTGGTCCTTGGTTCCCTCTTGTGGTCAAGTTTAGTATTGCATTATTGTTAATGTATATTATTTTGATTTCCCCCTACTTTTTTCTTTCAGGACTGTTAGGGATGGTGGCTCATATGATGTACACCACCGTATTTCAGCTAACTGTGATTGTGGGGCCCAAAGACTGGAGACCTCAGACATGGGACTATGGCTGGTCATTTGCGTCAGTACACTTACAAAATATTTTCACCCAGTTTATGTATAGTAAAGTTTGGCTTGTTTGTGATTTGATTAAAGTGGTAGTTTCTTTATATGAACTTTATAGATGTTTACGAATTTTCCTCTTTCTTTTGCATGGTCCTTTCACTCACTTCTCGACACTCAAGGCTTGCATGGGTGTCTTTCAGCTGCTGCATGGGTGCTGCAGTTATGACCCTTAATTCTTACACAAAAACAGTCATTGAGCTACGTCACCGCCAGAGGCTTCGATTAGAAGAGGCCTGTGCTACAAGCCACGCTCCGTCCTACAATGAGGTGGTCCCAGGTGGAGGGTTGTACTCTGTCAGCGGCCTATTACAGTGCCCAAATGGGATGATAGACTCTATGTGGGCATCCAATGGGAGCATGGGACTGGTGCAAGAGAGGGATGTGCCCACCCTGGTACTTGTTGGAGGATGCGGACAAGATTCGTGTGAAGACTGTGAGAGAGAGATGGATGAGATGAAGGAGGCCATGAATGGAATAGATTCTCCTTGTTAATCGTGGATGATGTGAGTTGAGGGGCTAGTTCACTCAAAAATTAAAAATTGTGTTATTATTTAGTCCCCATCATGTCATTTCAAACCTATATGGCCTTCTTTTGTCTGTGGAACACAGAAGAAAATAACTTGAAGAATGGTAGTAATCAAACAGATTTGTTTACCACTGATGCCCAGTGGATGGAGATTTTTCTTTTTAAATGGGTCATGAACTGCCTTTTTATTATTTTGTACTGTTCTCTGAGGTCCCCTTATAATGTTATCAAGATTTTCACATTAAAAAACATAATTTAGAAGTGATATATTTTCTGTCCTGTTTTAACCCCCCTCATCAGAACGCTCTGTTTGAATAGGCGTGGCAGATTGTAGACTCTGAAGTGAACACCCACTGCTATGATTGGCTAACACTTGTGTATGTTTGACAGCCCTTCACAGATGTACGCTACTGTGATTTAGGTTTAAAATGCATAAATACTCATATCACACAATCTGTTTAACAGACAAAGCAATAGTGACCACATAATAAAAAGAGTTACTCACACTTGTGTGTTACGACATTACTGTCGGATCCAATATAGCCGGCACAGCATCGTCTTTTAGTCTCAATCTTTCCGAAAATCCTGTGTGGAATTGTGCCTTGTTTGTAAACGAATCCGCGGTAAAATGAAGTGAACAAAGGACCAAGTTCTTAGTCGATATTTCATCACGATGTCCTTGGAAATCCAAGCTAAGAAGGGCAGAAGTTGTTATTAGGCTTAAAGCACTATATTGACACGGTCTAGAACTTCATTAAAAAGTAAGTTAATCCGCTCTTTCCTAACATTGCAATCAGAAGAAAGGAAATGCAGATACTGTTTTTTCCACAACTTGCACAGCATCTTGTTTTCTTCAGAGCCATCTTTATCGTTTGGTTTCTGCGTAGACCTACGCCGCGTTCACCTCTCTCATAAACACTACATGCACGAATCGATGGGCGGGGCTAAACAGGCGTTGATCTTCTTCTGCCGAGGTGGAGTTTAGTCACACTATTATTACATCATAGAGTGGCACATTCCACAAGCTGTCATTTTTGGCAGACTGGCTTCAATATAAGCTGTTTTTAGACTAACTAGAAAGTTTTGAGTTCTGAAACTTGGATTTTTTTTAATAGTACAATGACTGTAATTTTCTGTAATATCTCATATTTTCTTCTGTATTGTTTCTTTTATTTGGTTTAGAATTGACACCCAAACCATAACGAATAATGAAAAATAAATAAATGTATAATAATTAATAAATTAATAAATAAAATAATAATGTAAAGCATTGCTTGAAATATCTACTAAATGTGGAATTGTTGCAACCATCAAATGGTGTGATTATTTGAGTTATGGCTTTTTTCACACTTCTGAGAGCAGTACTGTATGATAATGTAAGAATTATGCAAGTTCTTAACATACATCATATAGGCCTTTAACCACTGTACAGCTATTCCTAGTGTCCCTTGTATTTTCATCAGTTGTCTTACATTTAAGTTAATTATGACAAATATTCAATATGGAAAAACAAAGAAAAAGATATATTAAAGAAATCCAAAATGAGAAATGGAGAGAGGGAGACTGCACTAGGAAGTTGGAGATTTTGAAGTCTTCTTTGCAATGTTGGACAGGCGATTATGTCAGTAATCCTAACTTGGACTAAGACAGTGAGGGAATTGACGGTTCGTAAACAGTGTTATAAAGATCTTTTAGAGATCGTAACAGACTCTATCCAACAAAATATTGCAAACCTGCTCATATACAGACTCACATTTACCTGTGTGCCAAAGTATATATCTGGCCCAACTTTGCCATGCATTGACAACACACAAAGATAATCCAGGATTATGGGAAAATATTGCCATGGCATGGTAAACCTCTCGTCTGCTGGCAGACCGTTAGAGATTATTGTGCTGCCCATTCCAGCAGTTCACTTGAACTCTTCATCTCACCTAATCATTTACACACAAATTCACACATACAGACACAGAACAGAGAAAAACTTAGTAGCTCTTACAGTTTCAGTTTTATTTCACAGCAGTTGACATCAACAAACAGATTTGCATAATATAAATTGCAAAGGTTATTGTATTATCATGCTGGACGATAAGTCTAGATGAAATTATGTTATGTTGTTTTTCCATACAGTCTGGCTTTATTTATATATCTGTATTTTACTTCATTTACAAGAAAAACATGACATAATATTTGCTTTCAGTATCATTTCATCTGCCAGAAACTCTTCTTCAGTCTACATACAGAATTTCACACATTTCACAACATTTGTTCTCAGATGGGACACTTTACTATCACTTTAATCTATCATCATTCTGTCTATCACGACTCACTCAAAACATATATGTACATCAGTTTGTTGGGCATGGGCTTTCTACTCATGTGGGTGGAAGTGCTGTGTGCTCATAAAGAAATGCATGCACTCAAAATCAACGCTTTCGCATTCATGTGTACAGTGCTCTCAGGTAAGATAGTGGTCCTTGGTTCCCTCTTGTGGTCAAGTTTAGTATTGCATTATTGTTAATGTATATTATTTTGATTTCCCCCTACTTTTTTCTTTCAGGACTGTTAGGGATGGTGGCTCATATGATGTACACCACCGTATTTCAGCTAACTGTGATTGTGGGGCCCAAAGACTGGAGACCTCAGACATGGGACTATGGCTGGTCATTTGCGTCAGTACACTTACAAAATATTTTCACCCAGTTTATGTATAGTAAAGTTTGGCTTGTTTGTGATTTGATTAAAGTGGTAGTTTCTTTATATGAACTTTATAGATGTTTACGAATTTTCCTCTTTCTTTTGCATGGTTCTTTCACTCACTTCTCGACTCTAAGGCTGGCATGGGTGTCTTTCAGCTGCTGCATGTGTTCTGCAGTTATGACCCTTAATTCTTACACAAAAACAGTCATTGAGCAACGTCACCGCCAGAGGCTTCGATTAGAGGAGGCCCGTGCTACAAGCCACGCTCCGTCCTATGATGAGGTGGTCCCAGGTGGCGGGCTGTACTCCGTCAGCGGCCTATTACAGTGCCCAAATGGGATGATAGACTCTATGTGGGCATCCAATGGGAGCATGGGACTGGTGCAAGAGAGGGATGTGCCCACCCTGGTACTTGTTGGAGGATGCGGACAAGATTCGTGTGAAGACTGTGAGAGAGAGATGGATGAGATGAAGGAGGCCATGAATGGAATAGATTCTCCTTGTTAATCGTGGATGATGTGAGTTGAGGGGCTAGTTCACTCAAAAATTAAAAATTGTGTTATTATTTAGTCCCCATCATGTCATTTCAAACCTATATGGCCTTCTTTTGTCTGTGGAACACAGAAGAAAATAACTTGAAGAATGGTAGTAATCAAACAGATTTGTTTACCACTGATGCCCAGTGGATGGAGATTTTTCTTTTTAAATGGGTCATGAACTGCCTTTTTATTATTTTGTACTGTTCTCTGAGGTCCCCTTATAATGTTATCAAGATTTTCACATTAAAAAACATAATTTAGAAGTGATATATTTTCTGTCCTGTTTTAACCCCCCTCATCAGAACGCTCTGTTTGAATAGGCGTGGCAGATTGTAGACTCTGAAGTGAACACCCACTGCTATGATTGGCTAACACTTGTGTATGTTTGACAGCCCTTCACAGATGTACGCTACTGTGATTTAGGTTTAAAATGCATAAATACTCATATCACACAATCTGTTTAACAGACAAAGCAATAGTGACCACATAATAAAAAGAGTTACTCACACTTGTGTGTTACGACATTACTGTCGGATCCAATATAGCCGGCACAGCATCGTCTTTTAGTCTCAATCTTTCCGAAAATCCTGTGTGGAATTGTGCCTTGTTTGTAAACGAATCCGCGGTAAAATGAAGTGAACAAAGGACCAAGTTCTTAGTCGATATTTCATCACGATGTCCTTGGAAATCCAAGCTAAGAAGGGCAGAAGTTGTTATTAGGCTTAAAGCACTATATTGACACGGTCTAGAACTTCATTAAAAAGTAAGTTAATCCACTCTTTCCTAACATTGCAATCAGAAGAAAGGAAATGCAGATACTGTTTTTTCCACAACTTGCACAGCATCTTGTTTTCTTCAGAGCCATCTTTATCGTTTGGTTTCTGCGTAGACCTACGCCGCGTTCACCTCTCTCATAAACACTACATGCACGAATCGATGGGCGGGGCTAAACAGGCGTTGATCTTCTTCTGCCGAGGTGGAGTTTAGTCACACTATTATTACATCATAGAGTGGCACATTCCACAAGCTGTCATTTTTGGCAGACTGGCTTCAATATAAGCTGTTTTTAGACTAACTAGAAAGTTTTGAGTTCTGAAACTTGGATTTTTTTTAATAGTACAATGACTGTAATTTTCTGTAATATCTCATATTTTCTTCTGTATTGTTTCTTTTATTTGGTTTAGAATTGACACCCAAACCATAACGAATAATGAAAAATAAATAAATGTATAATAATTAATAAATTAATAAATAAAATAATAATGTAAAGCATTGCTTGAAATATCTACTAAATGTGGAATTGTTGCAACCATCAAATGGTGTGATTATTTGAGTTATGGCTTTTTTCACACTTCTGAGAGCAGTACTGTATGATAATGTAAGAATTATGCAAGTTCTTAACATACATCATATAGGCCTTTAACCACTGTACAGCTATTCCTAGTGTCCCTTGTATTTTCATCAGTTGTCTTACATTTAAGTTAATTATGACAAATATTCAATATGGAAAAACAAAGAAAAAGATATATTAAAGAAATCCAAAATGAGAAATGGAGAGAGGGAGACTGCACTAGGAAGTTGGAGATTTTGAAGTCTTCTTTGCAATGTTGGACAGGCGATTATGTCAGTAATCCTAACTTGGACTAAGACAGTGAGGGAATTGACGGTTCGTAAACAGTGTTATAAAGATCTTTTAGAGATCGTAACAGACTCTATCCAACAAAATATTGCAAACCTGCTCATATACAGACTCACATTTACCTGTGTGCCAAAGTATATATCTGGCCCAACTTTGCCATGCATTGACAACACACAAAGATAATCCAGGATTATGGGAAAATATTGCCATGGCATGGTAAACCTCTCGTCTGCTGGCAGACCGTTAGAGATTATTGTGCTGCCCATTCCAGCAGTTCACTTGAACTCTTCATCTCACCTAATCATTTACACACAAATTCACACATACAGACACAGAACAGAGAAAAACTTAGTAGCTCTTACAGTTTCAGTTTTATTTCACAGCAGTTGACATCAACAAACAGATTTGCATAATATAAATTGCAAAGGTTATTGTATTATCATGCTGGACGATAAGTCTAGATGAAATTATGTTATGTTGTTTTTCCATACAGTCTGGCTTTATTTATATATCTGTATTTTACTTCATTTACAAGAAAAACATGACATAATATTTGCTTTCAGTATCATTTCATCTGCCAGAAACTCTTCTTCAGTCTACATACAGAATTTCACACATTTCACAACATTTGTTCTCAGATGGGACACTTTACTATCACTTTAATCTATCATCATTCTGTCTATCACGACTCACTCAAAACATATTGAGGTTAAAAAAGTTAAAGTTAAAAACAAACAAAATGGGAAAAAAGAAATCGGGGGAAACACTTGGCCAAAGGAAATGATATGACAGGAAAAATACAGTTATTGATCTTGTTTTATTATTATTTTTTGGGCTCATATTGAATAAGGTGGATCGCGTCTTCATTGTCAAGAACGCCTTGAATAAACTCACCCTCGGCCAATCGCTCTGAAAAGAAAAAGAAAAAAAAACAGAAAAAGTGACAACACTCACTGTTACTGGACAAACTCACATATTCAGTCTTTTAACAGCAGCCTTTTGACATTACTTTACTATGGCACCATCTTTGCTTTGTAATAAAGTTTGGAGATGCAAACAAATATTCAAATAGCAGACTTGAATCTCTTATCATGTGTCCATGGATGACAGATATTAGAAAATATATGAAATATATTTCAGTAAAGGGTTATATAAAAACTATATGTAAAACATATGAACATATATTAACATAAAAACACAATATTACCATTGTCTTTTTTATTGAAGAACGACCACAGTTTGTCTGCTCTCTTCTCGGGAGTGTTCTCGTCTGCTGGAAGATTTTCCTGCTCTTCTTTGGGGATCAACTTAAAGATAGCCTGAGGATCAGCAAGATGGAAGAAAAGTGGAGGTGAGGAGGGAAGAAAGAAATAACTGACTAATTATATGTGCAATAATTTCTAAAACCTCTCTCTCTATCATTTACATTCCGGGCTTGAAACTCTGGCCATTATGAAGCATGTCATAATGACAACTTTAAATTAATTATGTTATAATATAATAAATATATACTACTTAAACGTAATATATCATGTAGTCATATATTATAATTATATAATACGAAATGCTGTAAATTATTTTTTTGCTATTTGCCATTTAATCTGTTATGTGTTTGTGTGTGTACCTGGTATTCCCTGCATTGTGGGAACCAAATGTCCCCACAAGAATAGTAATACCAGTCATTTTTGACCTTGTGGGGACATTTTTGGTCCCCATGAGAAAAACAGCTTATAAATCAGTGATCTTTTTGAAAATCTAAAATAGCAGAATCTTTTTGTGTGAGGGGTAGCGTTAGAGTAAGGGAATATAAAACAGTTTGTATAATATAAAAACCATTATGTCTATGGAATGTCCCCATAAAACATGAAAACCAGTGTGTGTGTGTGTGTGTGATTATTTTCTACTAATAATATAGTCTAGTCACCATTTCCAATTCTTACAGCATTTTCCCCCAAACACACCAAAACTAAACACCTCATCTCAATACAGGTAACCTAATTACTGTATTTACCCAAACATTATTCATTTTCAGACAAAATGTAGTCGACAGTGAAAATCCCTGTGACAGGCACATCCATTAGTTAATTGGCATGTCAAGTGAATGACCATCTGCTCTTCTGTTGATGCTTGTCTGGAGCTAATCATCATAGATTAGGACCACAATGCCAAGGGTCATCTATATAGACTTTAGTTTTTCCTGACCACTGCTGACCTGGATCTGAGTGGTCCAGTGAGTCGAGGAGATGTTTATCTCAGACACATAAGACACGTAAGAATAATACAGATTAGAGGCAGTGCCAAAGCTCCTGCCGAAACCACACACTGCATGGCCTCAGCACAGCGCAGTCTTTAATGCTCTATTGCATTCAGTCACTGGCACGATGACAGTGACATTTATACTTATAAACCACCAAACTAGTGATCACAAAGCCTGAGTATAAGGTCAAATGCTGATCTGACCTCATGGTGTGTAGCTGTGTTAGGATAACATTTGATACATCCATAAATGCCTAAAAATAAAAACAATGCACTGAAAATAGAACTGCATTCCCTGATTCTATACTGTATCTTAAGATTTGCTCCTGATGTATGACTTTTTTCCTGCTTAATAAAAAACATAGAAGAAACTTTTTTTCTAGTGTTTGTCTTGCTGGATATATACTGTGTAATTTAAGCCGCATGTTCCCACTGTTTACTGTGACTTCTGCAACCCACTTATCCAGCATCTTTCTAAAAAAAAGCATCTTACATTGTAATCCCCCCACCCACCTGTCTCTGTGCTAATGGCTGTCTGCGTTTGAAAAAGCCTCTGTGTACGTTTATTGTTCAAGCTAAACCATTTATCGGATGAATTATTCTGGGATTCGACCGACTGCATTAGCCATGCTCCGAGGCAACGGCTTGTTAAGTCAAAGCTCATAAGACATTTGGCTTCTTTCTTTTTACTAAGGCCTTGTGTTCTGTGTTTGTTTAGTATTGCTGACTGAACAAAACTCACAGAGAGAATAGAGAGAAAATTGAATTATATATTCTGTGATTATATATGTGATGCATCATCAAGAGAAAGATTAGAATGCATTAATCAAATACTATATAAGGGAGACTGGGGCAAGTTGTCACTGGGGCTATATTTCAGTAACTGTAAGGATTTGAGTCAAATGTCAATTTGGTTTAAGTTTTTCAAGTTGGTATCAGAAATCTTCAAAACTGTTTTAAATCAGACTAATTTCCTTTACAAAAAAAGTATACTTTAAGTTCATTTTATTAAGTATACTTAAGTGAAGTTCAGCTATAATTTACGTGTAGTTAGCATACTAATATGGATGTACTAGTAGTATACTTGTAAGTGTACTGTTTCAATACTACTTGGGACTAAATTGGCCCACTTTTTAGTTTATAAAAGTATACTTTTAAACATACTTTTAACATTTCCCAGACCCTGTGTTTTGTTTCACACACCTAGTCCTACATTTAACAATAGACTCATACTAAACTAACACACTAATGTAAACTAATATACTTTTAATCACAGTAGTAAACTTTGAGTACACAACTACTGTACAACAACAAAGTACATAAAAAGTAGACTGAAAGTAAACTTACCTAATGTATTTTAAGTTTAAAAATAAATATACTAATAGCACACTTATAATGTAATAGCACACTTGAATAAACTTCTTTTTTGTAAGGGTTTGAGAGTTTTGTTTTTAAAACGTTCATTCGTTACAGCTTTAAACAAGAAAACACAATAAAACCACACTTGGATGCATTTAGGAAAGAGTCAACTAATTAAGGCAGTTTTTAACCAAATATGAGGAACTGTGATTTCAGGACAATGAATATCTGGTTGGAGCAAGCTGTCACAGTTTTGTATGAGCAATTTGTCACGTGTTTTAAATTAACAAATTTTTTTTTTGTTTTTTTTTGTTTTGTTATTTTTTCATTTGTTTTACTTAAATGTCATTGTTATTGGCTGTTCAATCAATGACAGGTTCCATTGTGACTACTTGCCCCTGTGTGACAACATTCAATAATCTTTTTTCTGCAAAACTGTCAACTAGCCCCAGTCTCTCAACATAAATAGCAAACTCACTCATTTATGGTATGGTTTCGAAAGGAAGCCACAAATGAAGACTTATGAAGATGTTCACCAACATTTGACCTACCTGACAGATTTCTGCCACTTCTGATTTTGTGATGTAGCCGTTCTTATCGACATCAAAAAGTGAAAAGGCCCACTCCAGCTTTCGCTCCGTCTTTCCAGTTGATGTCATGTGTAGCGCAATAATGTATTCCTTGAAATCCAACGTTCCATCATCATTCGTGTCAAAGGAGCGGAAGACGTGCTGGGCTTATGCTGCGGCATCACTGTCTGGGAAAAAGCGTTCGTAGATCTTTTTAAATTCGTCTGGTGAGATCCGGCCAGATGGACACTGCTTCTGGAAGTTCTGGTACCACTGTGACAGTTCGTTCTCTGAGAATCTGGTATTGAGTTTGAGATCCTCCAGGATCTCCTTGGACATAGCGCTGCTTTTGGCATTCCCCATTTTTGACTGCTGGTGGAGAGCACAGGCAGGGGTTCAGGAAGCGTTGTTTGTCAGGTCCTCCTTTCTGACCAGAGATACACTATATTATGTAGCTGCTCTTGCTGAGATGTTCCCAGAGAATCTCTCTTTTGGTGGGTGTCTGTAATTAATGTCCCATTAAAAACTTGGTGTTCAGTTCTCCTTTCAAGAAATGATAGACAGATGGATTGATAGATGTTAACAGAGTGCTAACAGAGGAAGAACAGCGTCTGTTGTAATGAAGCTCTCAAATGTAAAGGGAAGAATGAGCGCTGATCGATGACATTGGCTGCTGATGGGTGGGTGGGTGAGTTAGTGAGTGGGGGTGGAGCAGGTGAACTTAGGCTGTTACCTTTGAATGCAGGTTTAAGTCGTTAAAGAGGGATTTGACATGGCTGAGCCTCTGAGCCCTAAATCAACAGCTTGGGACTGTCCCCTTCCATAAATGATTACAGTAATAATGATTACTAGGCAAATGCCCAGTTGTCACTACATCTTAAGCTTGTTGATCATATACATGTTATGCCTTATGAACTTAAACATTTAGTTTGGGTGACATATCAAGCATTATTTAGAATTTTACTAGCTTAAATATGTTATAATTGCAACATTACTGTATCTAAGTAAATAATACTGTAGCTAAGTAACATTTTTTTTAATATATTTTAGGTTTTGTTGAAATGCAAAACGGACTTGAGATGATCAAGAAAACATTGCACAAATCAGTACGGTTTTGCACTGCATACCATTGTTTTTCCAGCAAAAAGTGTGTTTATGAATTTATATATTGCATGGAGTTACGTAGTGTAATTGTTACAAACAGCATTTTAAAACATTATCAATTTATTTATCATATAAATATGTGATAGTGGTGGTTTCCCCAATTAATTAATTAATTACCTTTTAACTGAACTCCAGAGATCCTCTGTTTGAGAGCACAACTTTCCCAAATTTTTTGCTTGGATCACACAGCTGACTGATTTCACCAGTTATTAGAAGGGATTATAAACATGCTTAAATGTATGAAAAGTGCACTAAAGTCAATAACAATAAGTCCTTAACATACAGTCATGTCCTCAACTGACAGTCTTAGTCCTCTTAATGAGACATCAGATCATTTTTGCACAGATAGTGGCATCCAGACAACTAAACTGACCTTTTGTGATGTTTAAAGCAAGGCCTTGTTGTAGAGACATGCTTATATTTCCTCAGCTTGACATGTTGTTTCTTACTAAAGTGTATCAATGGAAACATCAGTTAGGTTGTATGAATGGCTTAAATAAGGTTTATTTGTTTTATCTTCTGTTGAATTCATCTCACGAACTGTCATCACTTTCACTGAGTAGTGTGAATTAAGCGACAGCAGCTTTTGCTGATGTCTGTATCAAGTTCATTGAGGTTAATTCAAGACACCACTGGTTTTTGTTTGATTTTATTTTAATTGCATGTGGTAATCAGGGGATGGTTAAGCCTGGACCTGACATCTGCCGTACCCTATTTTCCAGGAAGCTTCCCTCTTTTAATCTTATTCCTGTACTTCTTACCTCTGTACAACTTTTCATGCCACCTGTCTTTTATTGGGTCTATTGCCCTCTCTCTGGTGCATGTTTTCTAATTTACTGTATTATGCTTATCTTTTTCAGTTCAGCGTCAAACTTAAGCAACATAATCTTATCCTGTTCACTGATTTTGGACGTTGCCCATACACTCTTAAAAATAAAGGTGCTTCTTCAAGCGATGCCATACAGAACGATTTTGGTTCCACAAAGAACTATTCAGTCAAAGGTTTTTTAAAGAACCATCTCTTTCTTACCTTTTTATAATCTGAAGAACGTTCTTTCGCCACAAAGAACCCTTTGTGAAACAGAAAGGTTCTTCAGATGTTAAAGGTTCTTTATGGAACCCTTTAGACAAAAAGGTTCTTCTATGGCATTGTGAAGCACCTCTATTTTTAAGAGTGTAATGGGTTGGCATAATGCCCAGGTTTTAAGTCTCAGTTTGACGTTTACACATAAACTGTTGTGGGTACTCTAATAAATTCATTGGGTCATGTTTGGTTCAGTGACTAATGGCAGTTACGAGTAGCAACTGTGTTTAGGTTCATTTGTAAATATCATGGAATTATGGTTATTTCATATACAGTGTACTTATGTCGGGTCTCCTTCTCTATCTCCATGCAAACCACTTACCAATTAACATTACCTGCCACATTGCTTTTTCCACTGTTACAGTGCATTTACACTGGCATTCAAGTGTAGAGCAGAGTGTGCATTTTCAACTCTTTCTCCTATGAGTTAGCAGGATTGACAGTGGACCGGCACTGAGAGTGTCCAAGAGCATTGAAAAAACAGTGGCCGCAGGCTATGACATTTTAAATCATATTTTTTCACATAGCTTTGCAGTGCATATATTTTGAATATTGCAGCTGGAAGCTTTTATTTAGTTATGCTATAACACTACAGTGCCTCCACTTTGGGGTGTGTTGGTAGCAAGTGTGTTTAATCTTTGTAGCTTACACTTTATTTTGATAGTCTACTTTAATCATTCTACTGTTTGCAACATGTCATAACTCTCAGCAATTTGCAGCTACATTTCAACTAATTCTCATTAGAGTATTTATAGGCTGTTAGGTTAGGATTAGTAAAAACAGTCATGGCCGCAACTGACAGTCGTAGGCCTCGTAATGAGACATCAGATCATTTTTGCACAGATAGTGGCATCCAGACAACTAAACTGACCTTTTGTGATGTTTAAAGCAAGGCCTTGTTGTAGAGACATGCTTATATTTCCTCAGCTTGACATGTTGTTTCTTACTAAAGTGTATCAATGGAAACATCAGTTAGGTTGTATGAATGGCTTAAATAAGGTTTATTTGTTTTATCTTCTGTTGAATTCATCTCACGAACTGTCATCACTTTCAGTGAATTAAGCGAATTAAGCGACAGCAGCTTTTGCTGATGTCTGTATCAAGTTCATTGAGGTTAATTCAAGGTTTTTGTTTTTTTTGTTTGATTTTATTTTAATTGCATGTGGTAATCAGGGGATGGTTAAGCCTGGACCTGACATCTGCCGTACCCTATTTTCCAGGAAGCTTCCCTCTTTTAATCTTATTCCTGTACTTCTTACCTCTGTACAACTTTTCATGCCACCTGTCTTTTATTGGGTCTATTGCCCTCTCTCTGGTGCATGTTTTCTAATTTACTGTATTATGCTTATCTTTTTCAGTTCAGCGTCAAACTTAAGCAACATAATCTTATCCTGTTCACTGATTTTGGACGTTGCCCCTACACTCTTAAAAATAAAGGTGCTTCTTCAAGCGATGCCATACAGAACGATTTTGGTTCCACAAAGAACTATTCAGTCAAAGGTTTTTTAAAGAACCATCTCTTTCTTACCTTTTTATAATCTGAAGAACGTTCTTTCGCCACAAAGAACCCTTTGTGAAACAGAAAGGTTCTTCAGATGTTAAAGGTTCTTTATGGAACCCTTTAGACAAAAAGGTTCTTCTATGGCATTGTGAAGCACCTCTATTTTTAAGAGTGTAATGGGTTGGCATAATGCCCAGGTTTTAAGTCTCAGTTTGACGTTTACACATAAACTGTTGTGGGTACTCTAATAAATTCATTGGGTCATGTTTGGTTCAGTGACTAATGGCAGTTACGAGTAGCAACTGTGTTTAGGTTCATTTGTAAATATCATGGAATTATGGTTATTTCATATACAGTGTACTTATGTCGGGTCTCCTTCTCTATCTCCATGCAAACCACTTACCAATTAACATTACCTGCCACATTGCTTTTTCCACTGTTACAGTGCATTTACACTGGCATTCAAGTGTAGAGCAGAGTGTGCATTTTCAACTCTTTCTCCTATGAGTTAGCAGGATTGACAGTGGACCGGCACTGAGAGTGTCCAAGAGCATTGAAAAAACAGTGGCCGCAGGCTATGACATTTTAAATCATATTTTTTCACATAGCTTTGCAGTGCATATATTTTGAATATTGCAGCTGGAAGCTTTTATTTAGTTATGCTATAACACTACAGTGCCTCCACTTTGGGGTGTGTTGGTAGCAAGTGTGTTTAATCTTTGTAGCTTACACTTTATTTTGATAGTCTACTTTAATCATTCTACTGTTTGCAACATGTCATAACTCTCAGCAATTTGCAGCTACATTTCAACTAATTCTCATTAGAGTATTTATAGGCTGTTAGGTTAGGATTAGTAAAATAAGTTATGTACTTTTTAAAAATAAGTTGATAGTTATTTATAGTCAGTGCAGTTGAATGTCTGATGGGGAAACATCAAAATAAAGTGTTAGCAGATATTAAGCAGATAGTCTGTTATAATGCTAGTTGACATGGAGTTGCAAAGTTATATATTATAATAAAGTGTTACCTTTTTTTCAGTACACTGCCTATGCAGTTATACATATTTATTATACATACACACGATGACAGTTGGAAAGATGCAAGCTTTCTTTCTGAATGGCCAAATTAAAGATATTGTGTCAACTTTTGTAAACAAATGTCACCACCTGCACCTCACAATGATTTGTTGCCGTCTGCCATTTCTCAATTTATGGGAAAAAAACATTATGTTGTTCAGTAAAGTTGCAAGCATCTTTTAAAATATCTTGTAATGTGCATTTGTATTTATTAAATAGGCCTCTGTGCTGTCAGACCACATTCAAGAGTACCAAAACATTTAGCCTACCGTTTGAATTTATGTTCATAAAATTAACATAAGTTGTGAACCACACAAGAGTCAAAATTCAGGTTTAATATCTGGGACTCTTATTTACTAGTTTGTAACATTTACAAGATTTAAACTATAATGCTGACAGGACTCATCATCTATTTATTAGAAAAAAAATAGGTAACCTTTCACATTTTGTCTGGACTTTTCCGTGTCAGGTCACACATTTAGATCCTACGCTGCATTTGAAACTTTCCAAAACATTCACTTGATACAGGTCTGCCCTACCTTTAATCACCCTGGATTTATTTAACTCCCTTGGAAACACCAGACATACCTCACCCTTCCCTCTTTTAGCACAGGGATTTTCTCTGTGCTATTCCAGGAATTCCAAGAGCACATTTATTGGATTACCTGTCAGAGCTAATTACAATGTGCCCACCTTGAGAGCAAATTGTGACATGCGGTGTACAAGGATTGCTGGGACTAGCGTAGAGATTTAGCCTAGTTGTTGTGGTTGTGGTTTTATGTCAGTGGAGTAAATCTGGAAAAATTGCAAGTGACAACTTAATACACAATTTGTCAAGACTACTTTATTCCCTCTTCTA